AATATTCCAAGGGTCTCACCCTCTTCCTTTTTGATCGCCTCAAATCTGGAAAGTGACACCAACTACTGATTTTCATGTATCCATTTACATACATGTTATAAAATGGGTATCTTACATAGAACTGAATGTACCATAAGCATGAGAAAGAAAAACAGACACACAAATGAAAATTTTAACAGACTGAAGAATTTAGTATTCATTTGTACCACAGCTTCAATTACAATATTGGCAGGGCAGAATGGATGTGGAAAGATGTTTGATTATCTATACAAGAGTGATTCGCAACCATTCCTTTTTCCTTAGGTGCTGTGCTAGTTTCTTCATATCATTCCTATCCAAGTGTTGACTAAATCTGAAACAAGAGACTATTTTGTATAGTGTCTTAAAGCACTAGCCTTGACTGTCTATCATGAACATAAACCACATAAACAATTATTCACGCAATGCACTGGTTCACTTAGTGCCCTACAGCACAATATTTCAGTAGTTCACTGCCCATTCAACGGACCTAGAACCTAGTAACAGTTTTCTGCTCCCCAAACTGAAAACTACCTAATTGGAAAGTGGCGATTTAAAGCAGCACAAGAGATTTTCAAAAGTGTGACACAAGGAATGCTCCCTCCCCTTTCCAAAAATAGTGCCAGAAGTGTATTAACAAGTGGAAGCAGTGCTGGAATCATTGTGTTCAATCACGAGACTACTCCATAAAGAATAAATCTGATTCATACGTATGACTCTTAGTTTGAAAGAAATCAATCTTGGAATGTTACATATGATCTGTCCTCATATAAAATTAAGTTTGCTATTAGGTAGTTTGTTAATGACTATAAAACAACAGTTGATACATTAATCTGAATGGCTTAAATAAATAACAATACTATCTTTAAAATCCTATTTTTCATTTGGATAATCAGTTATTTATTTACCAACTACACAATCAGAGACAGATTTCCTCTTTGTATTTTCTTCAGGTACAGCACCGACATGAGACTGCTTTTGCTCAGCTGAGAACATGTTAGGTTCCAATTCAGATGCCTTGTTTTCCTTCAAACTCCTTTTGGCACTGTTATTCTTTTGAATAATCTCATCTTTATCAGAGGACATATCACTTTTATTGGCTGCTACATCTTGAGCATTCTTCTTCACTTCTTAAAGGAAAGATAAATTAAGTTTCAGTTACAATTGCAATACTGTACAGGAGTCTCAGAATGATGAAGATGGTTATGATTTACTATAATTAATGAATCACAGCAATTATAAAAATCAGACGTGCAGAAATACTCAAAAGTTCTCACGAGTTCACTGTGCACTACATATCATAGTACAAATGTCTCAGCAATACAGAAGTTCTTCAACATGTGCTCTGCTGTTGATCTGTTCGTGACCAGCCACAGCTCCTACCTAGACAGACGTAGCTTTCATCACAAAGATGTCATATCAGCATCTGACTGACTCCTTCAAAGATGGTTTCTCCCAACTTTGTCACTGACAGTAAACTGTAGTCACAGATTTTCATTCATGACACCAAGAAAACAACATACAGCATCTTGTTCTAATACCATTTTATACTTGTGGATATGGCAGAGTTGCAATGGCCAGAAAGTGAACAGAAGCGCATGGTGATAAACTTGAAGTGTTTCTATGTATGTCTCAAGTTATTCCACGGTTGTAACTGCTTTGGTTCATTACATATAGCAAAAGTAATTGTCTCTACCAATTTGAGACAATCCTCACTATAATTTGACCCATTTTTTGTACAGGTATGAACAATGGTCTCTCACACTGGAGGAGAAAACAAAGCAACAAGAATATGTTATAAGACACACAAGATGACTTGGAGTGAAGAAAAGCATGTAACTAGGAACTTTATGACTTCTGATCTTCAAACTCACTATTATGACAGTAATTAAATAAAGTAGATTGAGATGGGTTCTGTGCATAAAGAATAAACTGCAGAAAACATAAGCACATGTAACTTTTCTGTGGGTAATCCTATAGAAACGTCACTAGAGAGATAAGGGTATATAAAATTAAAGTAAAGTTTGTCCCACTATAAGCCATGTAGGCGTTTGGGGTGAGTGGAGGTATAGCTCCTCTCTTCCTTGACCTCGGCACTAGATGGGGGTGAGTGGTCAGCATCACGCCCCGGCCGGCTTTACCCCCGAGAAAGGACCCCGGTACCCATTGTAGAGGAGGCTGGGTGGGCTCCAGAGCCGGTCTGGATACAGAGGCTAGATAAAAAATCCTCTGCCGCGTCAGGGATAAGGGTATATGTAAGAGAATAATATTATGAACAATCTGGCATGGCTCAACTTTTGCTCATTTGGTTAGGACAATAGATATGTGATTAGCCCAGTGCACTGAAAGGATAGTAATGTTGGCTGCTGCTATGGGAACGAATACAAGAGAACAAATAGTACAGGAGCCAGTTCATAGACTATTTGTATTATGTATAATCCAATGTCAACTTTAATCAAATCATGTAATTTTATTGTTTCCATTTTTATCCAGCCTGTTCTGTAAATAATTTTCTACAATTTTGTTTAACCCACTGATGTTTTATATAGCAGTGTAAAGCCAGGATATTTTCAACAAAACTTCGGCAAAATTTTCTCCATAATGTTTGACAAAGATACCGTATGGTCATTTCATTTAACATCTGAAATGAACACATGCACTGTTCTGAATACAGTCATGTAAAAATATTGGTACTTACCATTCCAGACTGCTAATGACACAACAACTAAAGGTGAAAGTTACTGGAAAAAGTATAAAAGTTGAGACCCAGTTGTAAAATAAAACATCCATCTGCTACTTAGTAATTATCCTGTTCATGCAGAATAAAAATGTATAAAAATCCCTACCTCGATTTGGAGATGATCCTTTTCTACTATATGCATTCTCCTGTGAATTTATTTCTTGAGAAACCTCTGTTTCATTCTCCATAAGTGATTTCCTGCTTGTAATTTTATTTCCTTTAGTACTTTTAGTGGCAGGTTTCTTCGTGGTGGCTTTATCTCTCAAATCTGTTAATCACATGAAGCACATACTGAAAATAATCCTTGATACAATTTGCTTCTGAACTTCAATAAAAATAATTAAGCTCGCAGATCAACATAAATTATGAAAATTATTAATATGTGGTTGTACAAGTGCAATAAATTATTTCCATGCTGAATTATTTATAAAAAATAAAGCCACCTTTCGCTATACACATTCCCTTGCTAAACAAAAAATCATAACTAATAGCTTCAAGTGTTACAAGATGGAAGAAAAGACTTTATTAATGAAACCACTTAATTCTTAATGTTTATAGTGAAACAGACTGGCATTCGTACATCATGTACCATGTTCACTGCAAATAAAAAGTTAAATCACCTTCCTTCAACTGATATGTAAATCAAAAGATAGTAAACAAATACTGAGTGAAATAAAATCAAAAGTTGAAAAGAATGCTGCAAATGAAACACAAATAGTAATTATTTTGTATCTATATTAATTTCACCTACCTAATGGTTTTCCTAAGTTACAGTTAACTCTGCCCTTTGTGGTTATAATGTTATACCTATAATACAATAAAAACAATTTCTATTAGGAAAAGAACAGTTCAATGTAGTTTTAAAGACAGCAACACAGAAAACTTATGTGTCGAAATACCACAACAAAATTTATACTATTAATACACTGAAATTTATGTTTTAAGATGTGCAGCTGTAACAACTGCAATAAGAATAGCCTTATCTTGTCACAGTGTTGTAGCTTACTTAACATGGATGTGAAAACACAACAGTTTGGAAAAACAAAACCATTTCTGATGAGAGTAGGAAAGGTTTCTTTGGGGAGAACAAGAATTATGGCACAGATCCCAATGAAATCTATTTTTTATGTTTTGTACCAGCATTTCATACATGAATCCATTTTAAATAAATAAGTCTGATTTAGCTCTGTGAAAATAGTGATTATATTGGATCAATATAAAAAAAATTAAGATGGTATGACAACTTACATTGCAGACCACCTTGTCCCAATACAAACTTTCACTGAAATCCAACAAGAAGTTTTGGAGATACAACATGTGCTCTACTAACACACACAAAATGTAGAAAAAGACTGCTCTTTTATGGTATACAAATAAAAGAGAATCATCTAAGAAAATTAAAATTAGTTATTTTTTCTGCAGCACATCTGAGATTATATTAATAGGAACATCACTTTGTTAGTGTAAATTCTAAGAATGTGAGAAATTAGTTTCTGGTGGTGGATGTAGAATTTATGTATAAAAAAATTGTCCAAAACCAGAAACCACTCAAAACTCAAGCTTAAAGAACTACTTGCAGGCAGAATCAGTTTCCAAATTTAATTATCTTCATAATTAATTTCCCATTAAAAAATAAATGTACACATGGAAGTTATGGGAATACCTTATGAGTCCCTGACATTCCAGCATTATAATTACTGGCAGTAGCAGCAGTGGTAATGATATTAGTGACAACAAATGTAAAAAATGGGAAACAAGAAGGAAATATACAACTGTGGTATGGAAACTCTATGGAAGGACCATGAAGAAGTGATGGACACATGGATGAACATTAGCAAAATATATCTCAAGGAAACTGACTTAGATGCAGGAAGCAACAATTCAGGATGAACTCCAATAGCATATTCGTGCTGTTGTGGAAATAGCCCTTACAGGTACATAATACCAGAGTAGGTTCTGCAGCAAAATAACAAGGCACACAGGTAGTAGGGCATGGATGTAAGTCTCCACATGTTGAAAATTTCAGCAGCATGAGTATGCATATTTTTAGCTGGAGGAAGTACCCATGATGCACACTGGTCACAAGGCTCAGAACTGTTCTAGTTAAGATGATATAACAATATCTTTATATCATCGCCGAGAATGACACTTAAATGTCCAGTCCAGTCAACTATCAGTAGATGATAATGATGACGACAGTAATATGATGATAGAAACA